AAATTAATTATTCATCACTCAACTTCGATGTGATTTCTTTTGTTTTATTCCCCCAAGCCTCGGAGCCAAGATAGAATTTTAATATATCGAAAATGGTCTATTGAGTGAAGTGCTTGCTGATATGTTTAACGGTGTGAAAAAGATTTAGAACTGTTTTGTATACGAAGGCACTTGCTACAACAAAAGGAAACGTTTACAATTATCGGTGGTTTGTTATTTGTTTTGACGTTTTATTTATGCCACAATGAAAACCCCCGTTTAAGAGCCAACATTTTTTGAAGTCTGGCAAAATAGGTTCTTGTATTTTGGGGTAGTTAATGGCAACTTAGACTAAGTAGGTTCTTAATTAGGTTCTTAATTTCTATGAAGGAGGTAAAGTTGTTGATTACCAGAAAAATAAATAAACTTGTATTCCCAACTGTAAAATGTACTTTCTTGTAATATAAATTTGCAATCTCAAAGTTACACTCCTCGGTTAAAAAGGCTTGCATTATTTAGCTGTAACCCACATATAAGAACCTGGTTCATCTTGATTGGCTAAACAGGTTCTTATACTTTTAATTAAATCACCAGGTTTTTACACGCAGGTTTTTACTGTTTCTGAGTAGCCTTGTAACGACTTTCAAAATTACACAGTAAGAAAGCTTCTCTGCGAAGGTTCCATTTGAAAGAGACTAGTTAAACCTTGTCAATTTTACTGTATTAAAAGCTAAAAGCAATCACGGTTGATCAATAATCATACGCACCTCATCAAAATTTTTGTCCCAGTTTTCGTTGGTTATGACAAAGTCCACAGTGTCGCTCATGTAATCCTCAACAGTTCTAACAGAGGAAAATAAGACGACTAATGTATCTCAACGCAGTGACCGAAAACGAGACAAAGAGAAGACAAAGAAGGAAAATTCGTTTACAATAAAATAAATAACAAATTATACCCTTGTTAAAAGCACTTTCAAATCAAGTCACTTTGTTAGAAATCTTGTAATTTTGTCATTTCACTCGTCTTTTCTCACAATGCGTTAAATTTTTTAATACTTTTTCCCTTCAACGATTTTGGACTAGAATGTTGCCCCCTATAACAGTTAAACAAGGCATTTACCCATTATAGGCCGTGATGTATCTTATCAGGAGTCTCCTGGTCTTGCTTTCAATTTCACCATACAACATGAAATGCTTGTGAGAGAAGAAGTCTGGTAACGAGGGAAGGTCTTCTGAGCCCGAGGTAACGTCGTCAGCGGATTCTACTTTACCTGGGAAACGCCAAACAGGAAGAAATAACCCAACAATGATACACTATTTCTAAACGAAGATTAACTGGAACTGAAGAATTCCGACAACACGCTCAAGACAACATACGAGTTCCCACTAATCAGTTTTTAATACTTTGGGAAAGACCAGAGCGCTGAGTTTTTGTTCAAATTTCATAAAGTTTGTCCGCAGACTTTCCCAGGTTAAAAAATCCTTTAATTCACTACAGTTTGTGAACTAACTGACAGACCATAGCGCTCCTAAACTTGCATTTCTTCGTGAGAAATACCTTTGTTTGTGGTTTCTTCTTGTTCATCATCAGTTGAACCACCATAAATATCTTCTGCTTCTTTTTCTTCTTCTTCTTGAACTCTGCAAAGAACAGAATAAAACGTGACACTAGACGTCAGTTCCTCCAGTCCTGGACTACTTTGAGACATGGACATCCCTCCCTCTCCTCTTAAAACAGTGTTGGCAATGTTGCTTGGAACCAAATGTGAACCAGTGTACATTAAGTCACAAACAAATAACATTGAATAATTGGCGGGTAAGAAGAATGTGATTTTTTGAGGAGTCTTAGGGGCCTTAATTTTACAAAGTGCGGATTCTGGATTTGTCTCAACGCGGTTTTGGCCAAAATTGTAACTTGTTGCCAGCCGACACAACATAACAAGCAAGTTCTCCAAATCGGTTACATAGGTATGGCGGGACGCGGGATAAAAGTACTTCGACGAGAGCTGGATTTGCTCATTTTGGGCGCCGGATAGTTTCAAAATTGACGGCGGGATGCGGGACGGGACGTTACGCGGAGAACAAGGTCAAGGTCAACTTTATTTAGGCAGGGTGGCCCANCTTGCGCCCTTATCAAGCTCGTCGTTGTCAAGCTGGAAAGTAATTAGGAAGGTCACGTGGGATTCTGGGAAGACACTATTGGCCTTCCATTGATACAATGCGACCAATAATTTTTGAGATTACAAGGCACGACCGTGAAGACAATGATGGTTGTAATGTTCCTGATATGTTGTGGCAAAATGCCAAAATCAGGCAAATTTGCTGTTTGCAACAAATACACCAATCGACAAAATGTTACCAGACGGGTACACATGAAATTTGGGATTCACCCGGGTCTACATAAAATGAAGGCTGATTTTTGATTTCGCCAGTGGGTTTATAGGCTCAATTTTTTCTCTCTCAAGCAAGCAAGAATTCTTTATTATTAAATAGTAAATGCCAAAAGAAACATGCCTAGAGTCATACGTCTGGACTTACAATTTCATATAACTAACTGCTATAAAAAACTATTTACAAATGTATGAATAACAGTTAGCCTGGTGTACGTTCCTTCCCCGCCCCCCTCCTCTCCTTTTCCGTACAGCGGCTGCTAATCGAGCAAAGTGGGTAGCCTAGTAGCCCTGTACCACAACCTTGAACGGAGCTGAAGCGCTGAATATTAAATGTTGATGATAACCTCCGATTTAAGCTTCTGAGAGTTTGGTTGTTCATCAAGGTAATTGCTATATCGTAATTAATGGATATCTTTAGTATTCTCGGCAACTGGTTACGCAACATAATATGCAACGTAAGGAGAAGCTCATTGTCGATCAGTCTGTACGTATTTTACCTTTCTTTTCAGTGGAAACTTCATCCTTGCTCTCCATGTGAGGTTTCGAGCTTCCTGAGGGTGTGTCGTCCTTTATGCAAACAAGATCATGAACATTGTCAGCAATAAACAAGACATATCAATTTATCAGTTTGACTTCGCATAAATTGAACATCGACTAAGTTTCCCGTTAGGAAATTTTAAAGTGGCAAGGAATGTACTGAAGAAGGTTAATCTCCATTTCAGGTTAAAGGTGCTACGTCACGGAATGCGCATCTTGAAAAAATTAGCCTAAATTTTTCAAGTTTTTCGTTTGTAATCCGTGTTAATCTTCTCCATCCTCAACCATCCTTGTTTCTTTATGGTTTATTTTTATCTCTTTGGTGGTTTTCTATTTAAGTAAACTATTATTTTCAGGTTTCCTTCAATTTAAAGGTTATTTTGTACATGGCCAAAATAACGTGACTGAGCTCCTTTAATCAAAGTCTTGTGTAAGTGTTTCTTCAGGCTTTTGTGCCACTTCTCTTACAGCATAATGGTATCTGTGTTTGTAAATTTTATGGGAAAATCTGACAACAAGTGTTGAATCAACCTGCGATAGAGTAACATCCCGGAACGAGCATTAGGGCGAGGATAGTTCTGAAAAGAACTTTAGTTGGCGACTGATGTTTTGATAACCTGATCGGAAAAGTCATCTTCAGAGACAAGTAAAAAGTGTTAATCAGTCGATGGTGTTATAAGTCTGGTCTGTTAAAACATATTGGTCAGTTTAGCTGTGATGGTATTGGATGTACAACTTGTGTAATGTTTGTCAGCAGTGATTCAAACCTGGCATTTTTATTATTCCTAACAACTGTTCAGATATTTTGTTGGGAACTAATTGTGCAACAAAAGAATTCAGAGCACTTTTAGAACGCAGCAGCGCTAACGTTTTACGAAGAATGGCAAACACACTGCGACAGCGACGTGCTCGGTCAGTTGTCAAAAGAACTGAATGCAACCTAATAATTTAACACCGTAGCTAATGGTCAGCTAATCCTGCTTTAGCTTAATCGGGCTTTGACTGACAACCCGGCCCAGATGATTGATGCTATTGCTCACGTGAACAACAAATCACGTGACACATTTATCTAACCTTTAACTCAGTGTCACTCGCCCCAGCTTTCTTGTGATTATTACTGTCTGTGTCCTTTTTCTTTTTTGCCGGCGGCGGTTTAGGTTTGGCTTTTTCCTCTTCGCTACTTTCTTCAGATGAACTGCTATCACCCGGCAAATGGTAGCTTGACAATGAGAGATAAGTCAAAGTTATGGAAAAATTATTCGGTTAAAAAGGCAAGTCAAAAAAACTATTCCAGAAGCTGTGAGTTCGTACTAAAATCTTGGCGATGTAAAAATTATTTTGAAAAATTTCTGTAGTAGAAAGAGGATTCTTTTGGTGCTGTTGTTCTGTTACAGCGAAGGAACATATCTTTATTTCTACGCTGTAAGCAAATTTTAGAAGAACGAAAAAAGACAAGATTTCCCTGAAGGAATCCCCTCCATTCTCCACAAAGATCAAAAGAAAACATAGATAACTTACTTTCGAGTTGGCAAGCGCTTGTTCTTCTTGAAACAGTCAGTTATCCATTTCTTGGTCACAATCTTTCCTTTTCCTGACAAAAAAAAAACGAGCGAAACAACCGTTCAACAAAGGGTTTCAATAAATACAACGATAACCTTAGCATACCGTAAAATTCCGGTCATAAGCCCTGGGCATATACAACTTTATACGGGGTTTGGGTAGGCTTATAACCGAGGGAGCGGGGCTTATACCCTCGGGATATTCCTAACCGTTTTGGGTGGGCTTATAAACTGGGGGGAGGGCATATATCCGTGGGAGCTTGATATAAGCGGTATTTAAAAAAGCGTTTCGAAATAAGCCGACGAAACCAACAACCAGCAGTGCACAAAGATGTTTTATGTTCTTTGGAACAAGAAACACAAGGAACATTTAAGGAAAAAAGCCCGGAAAAAAGTACGCAAAGCACAGAGGTCGTTGTATGAAGCTTATTCATAACAGGCCAATACCGGCCGGTAAGGTACACAATGTGAAGGAGGCCTTATATCCGGGGTATGTACACCGGAATAGTTGACTGAGCATGCGTTTTATGTCGTCAGAGGTGTTACCATGAAATAGGCCTTTTCGGTGTTACCTTGGACCTCTGTTTCAAAATGAGTCCTCGTTCAAAACCTTTCTTATGAAAATGACTTTGATTTGCATGAAAAAGAACCTGTAGGCAGAACTCATTTTCATATCAATGGTTCGCACGAAGACTCGTTTCAACACAGAGGAAAGAGGCAACTCGGAAATGACCTATTTGATGTCAAATGATAAAAAAAAAAATCTGTATTATTAAGATTTGCCCAAGGTAACAACTTCCACATTATTACCTTTAACTTGATTGAACTTGGGTGTGTTGGCGAAGGCACAACTGTGATTGAAATAAGACCAGAAG